GTAGCGTGAAGAATGGTTCCTGAACCATCAGAGTGGGCACATATACCCACTTCTCTTCAAAATTAATTTCTCGCGCTACCATGCTCTCCCTGATCATATCATCCTCCAAGAACACATCATGTCTTGTTTTTACAAACTTCGTTAGTCTGTCAGGACAATAGAAGCAGTAACCTTTTGACTTTTCTAGATAGCCAATGAAATGGCAACTAACTATCTTGGAGTCTAGCTTCTCTATGTTTGGGTTAAAGACTTTTGCCTTAGCTGGACAACCCCACACACGTAAATAGTTAAGTGAGGGTTCCTTTTCTGTCCACAACTCATACGGTGTTTTGGGCACCGACTTGTTTGCCACTCGATTGAGAATATGAATGGTGGTTTTTAATGCCTCCATCCATAAACTTATCGGTAGGGTAGAGTAACTTATATTGCTTCTCACCATATCTATTAAGGTATGGTTGTGTCTTTCAGCTACTCCATGCTGCTGAGGCTTGTCCGGTGTAGAATACTGGCCAACTATGCCATTTTTCTTTAAGAACCTTGCAAAGGGTCTAGGAATTTGGCCATATGGGGTGTGTCGACCGTAGTACTCTCCCACATGATCAGATCTTACTACCTTAATCTTTAAGTTGTGCTGATTTTCTACTTCAGTCTTAAATATCTTAAATTTATCCAATGCTTTCGATATTTCCTTAATTGAATAAATATAGACAAAACAAGAATAATCATCTGTGAATGTTATACATGAATCGTAACCATCCACACTCTTCATAGGAAAAGGACCACAGATGTCTGTGTGAATTATTTCTAAAATTCCTGCGCTTTGATTGGCATCTTTCTTTATTTTCTTAACGTATTTTCCTTTTATGCAATCAATGCATTGTTCTAAATCTAAAAATTCAAAAGGCGAAAGAATTGATTTCTTAATCAATCGCTCTATTTTTCTCCTCAAAATATGGCCTAAACAACAGTGCCATAATTTCAAAGATACATCATGCACTCTCTTTCACTTATTTGTTGCATTCATAGACGAGGAAGCATTCTCATTCTCAATGCTCACATCATTCACATTCTCAGAAAGTGATAATAAATAAAGCTTGTCTTGTCGGAAGGCAAGACCAAGACACTTATTATTAATCACAATCCGACATTTGCCATTACCAAAATGGCAATCATATCCATCATCATCTAATCTTGAAACACTTATCAAGTTTCTACGCAAAGATGGTACATAAAAATATCTGAAAGCTGAAGTTTAAAACCATCATATAATTCTAGAGAAAGATCTCCAATGGCTTCAACTTCGGCTTTAACTCCATATGCAACTTTAATTCTTCTTTCTTCTCTTTGCAGGGTTCTCCTCGTACAGAACCCCTGTAATGAATTTGCAACATGAACAGTTGTACCTGAATCAATCCATCAAGTAGATTTTGCATAACTTAAATACAAGGATTCATCTATGAATATAATGAAATCCTCACCTCTCTTCAGAAGTCTTTTTAGGAAGTCTGGACAGTCCCTCTGGTAATGTCCATACTACTTGCACCATTTGCACTGATCTTTTTCAACTTGGGCATTGCTGTTCTTCTAATGGTGCTCAGTCTGAGAGGCTTTCCCTTGAGGTTTGGCATTCTTATTGAAGTTCTTCTTCTTGTTGTCCTTCACAAGGTTAGCAGAGTCACCTTGTGAGCTTTTCAGCCTCTCCTCTTCTTGAACACACATTACAATGAGCTTCTCTATATCCCACTTATCGGGCTGCATGTTGTAGTTCATAACAAAAGTTTCATATTCTTTGGGCAAGGAAGCAAAAACCAAATGAATAAGGAACTCATTCTTGAGCCCCAAATTCATTGGTTTCAGCTTCGAAGCAGTGTTGCTCATCTTTAGTATGTACTCTCTTATACCGCTACCAGTGTATTTCTCATTGAATAATTTCTTGATCAAAATACTGGCATAAGCCTTTGAAGTGCCAGTAAACAGACTCTCCATTTTCTTAAGATATTCTGTGGTGGTATCACAATCTGGGATAGACCCTCTTATCACATCTAAAATAGTGGACTTAGCCACCATCAAGCACTTGCGGTTTGAAATGTCCCAGTTCTTGCGTTCGAGATCATATTTCATCCGCACTTCTACATGATCTCGTTGCCGAGCAGTAAAATCAGCATCAGACTCATTTTCTTCCCTCACCGGGTCCACTGGCTCAGTAGGACACTGGGAGGTAAGCGCTAGGTCATTTTCAGACAGTGCAAGTGCTAGTTTATACTTCTCTCACCATACCCTATAGTTGCCCCCTTCAAGAGGCGGTATGTGCAAGATAAAAGCCATTGGGTTGAGTCCTGAAAAACACCGTCAGAGAAAGTGAGAAAATTGATATAATAATTGCATGCCTTAATTTAACGTTGGTCAAAATTAAAACATACAACTTTCTTATACACTAATTCTACATCATTGTTGGGCAGAAATAGAATTAATGCATGGAAAACCTTATTAATAAACATTATAATATTGCTATTATCAATGTTGGTTAGAAAAATAATAATATTAGAATTTACTGAATAAAATTTAACTGCTCTTCAAATTAAATTCTCTCGTTGGTTCGAATTTCATTAGAAGATAATAATCTTTAACCTTTGCAGCGGAAACATGAAAAAAATTCTTTATCTACTTTTCAGAAGCATTTTACTGTACTCATCTCCTCTCTGAAAAAATTATCCCGTTGGTTCAAATTTTGACAGAGATTTAAACCAGACAAAAAATTATCAAAATTTGCTTCTAAAAATAAATAAAACAATAACATAGTTTCTACTGTTCATTTGGTCCAGCCCGTTGAAACAATGCTCGGCCCAGCGGCAAAATGCCGCCCGCACTCACAAAACCAGCCCATCCGCCTACTTCGTCCCAGCGCGCACGCTCGCTCCCCGCGCCCAGGCCACAACTTGGGTCTAGGCCAGGATTCTCCTTCCCCGCCTAGGCCAGAAGTGGCCCGTTCAATCGGAGCCGTCCATCTTGATCCAACGGACGTCCGTCGTTCTCGCGGGTACAAAAACACGCCCCGTCATGGCGCGTGCACCCTAACCCTAATTCATTCGCTCCCACCCCTTCTCTCTCTCAGCGCCACGCATGGAAAGGAAAGAGGAGTGAGTAGCGGAGCAGCGCCGCTGCCAGTCCCCTCGCCGACGCACGCGCTCGTCGAGCGGTTTGGGCGACGGTGTCCTAATCCCCCACACGCGTTGCAGTGGGACTCTCCCTAAACCCTAGATCTTTTCGGCGCCGCTGCGGGTCCCCTCGTCGGAGCGCGCGCTCCCCAATGGGTGAGTGCGCCGCCGTCGAGCGGTCCTGTGACAGTGTCATCGGCTAGGGCTCGCGCGCACAGCGACGAGCGCGGCTCGGCTATCTCCTCGTGTGCCGGTGAGGCAGCGATGGAGCTTCTTCCCACGTGATGGCGGCGGTGACGGCGGCGAGAAAAACCGGGTAGGTCTCCCCCCTATCCGTCTATTCTTTCTAGGGTTAGGGTTAGGGTTTCGGGTGGGGTTTCAATACCATTCGAATCGAGTCCCCTCCTTCTGTTTTCTTCATGATTTCTACCCCAAAGACTAGATCTACATCTAGACCAGGCGACTGATACCATTGATAGAAGTTTTGGATCACCTAGTTGCAGATCTAGCGGGTGTATACTTGAATTTAGAACATGGCAAACCCTAGAACATAAGCTAAAGCGAGAAACACACACAGAGAGAGAGAGAGAGAGGGTGCGGAGATGCAAACCATTGGCCACCTTCGAGGAAGACAAGCTGGCCATGGCGATGCTTGTCGGTGACGCGGTGAAGTTCGGCGGTGAAGACACGGTCGTAGTGGCGGCGGTGCAGAGGCGACGGTGGCCGGTGGCGGTGCTTCCCGTCGTTGGCAGCGCTCCCTCTCTAGATCGGCTAGGGTTTGGGACGTAGGTGGGGTGTGTGGCGGCTCAGGTGAACCTCGTGCCTTGTGCCCTATCCCCCACCTCCTTTTTTATGGCGCCGTGCGATGGGGGCCCACCAACCATGGAGCGGTTGGGCGCCCCCAATCAGGGCGCGGATCCAAGGGTGGGCCAATTGGTGGAGATCAATCTAACACAGATTGCCACTACGGGTGCTCTTCCAACTCTGGCAAGATGAAATCTATTGAACTGTGAAATTTGGGGGGGTGGGTTAGAGGGTTAAGGTCGATGAATTAGGGATTTAGAGGAAAATCGGTGGCGTCAGTTGGTGTGTGGGACAATGTTAGTGAGGGGTGTTGGGCGGGGCAGTCAGATGACTAGTGGATGGGTTGGGGTAGAGGAGAACTTCATCCAATAGGTTAGTGAGGCAATGAGGAACAATGGTGTATCGGCGCTTAGCGGTTGGGGTTGTGATGTAGATGGGAGAGAAGAACAAGGTCGAGACACGGAGAACCTACTCAGGCGCCATGGTTATGGCCGGAGAAGGCGAAAGTATAGAAGAAATTAGGAAAGAGGAAGGCCTTATATGAAATATTTTGGCAAAGATCTAATAATGAGTCATCAGAAACAAAGGTGGAGCAAAATTTGCAGCGACCTACGTGTCTCCGGCCTCACTACCACGGTGAAAATTGAAGACCAGTATTACTCCATCACGAAATTACAAATACATTATGCCACATGTATATTCGATAGATCAGAAATGATCAGCTCCCCCTCATTCACCAGTAGTCCAGACCCCACGTCTCAGAACAGCAGGTTGAAAGAATGTATCGATCAGTGCTAGTTGTTACACGTACATACATATACATATATTTATACACGTACTCACCACTCTTTTCAATTTGTGTGTTTTAGTGAATCGAATCGAATCGAATTTTCACCGTGCAATACATGCATCGATGCAACGACGTGCACGAGAGATCGAGAACAACTACGTACGACTGTTCAGTTGAGTTGAGTCAGTCAGATTGCCACGCCACGTACAATGTGTTTGTGTGTGTCGGTTTGACGTACGATCGGCGATCGATCACCTCCCCTTCATGTCGGCGAGCTGCTGGAAGAGCTCCCCGGCGGCGGTGGTGGACGCGTCGGGCACGCCGCCGCCCGAGGCGCTGGCCGCGGGGACGACGGCGCCTCCGCCGCCTCCCTCGGCCGCGGCGCCGTCCTCCCCGTCCTGCTGCGCGCCCTCGGGCGGGTTGGCGTCCTGCAGCTGCAGCGCGTACTCGAGGTTCCACAACACGTCGCCCATGGAGATGCGGTCGCTGCCGAACTCGGCGAGGCACTTCTCGGCGGTCTCGGCGAACTTGGCGAGCGACTCCGGGTTGACGGTGCCGGCGAGCTTGGGGTCCATGATCTTCTCGATGAGGCCCTTGCGCTTCCACTGCATGCCCCACTCTGCCAGGCTGACCTGCTCCCGGGGCAACTGCGGGTCGATGGGCGGCCGCGCGCACAGCGCCTCCAGCAGCACCACGCCGAAGGAGTAGACGTCCGACTTGTCCGTCAGCTGCTGGCACCGGAAGTACTCCGGGTCCAGGTACCCGAAGCTGCCCTTCACGGCGGTGCTGACGTGGAGCTGGTTCATGCCGGGCCCGTCCTTGGACAGCCCGAAGTCCGACACCTTGGCCACGAAGTTGTCGTCCAGCAGGATGTTGGTGGTCTTGACGTCGCGGTGGATGATCCCCTGCGCCGTGCCCGTGTGCAGGTAGTGCAGGCCCCTGGCGGCGCCGATGCAGATCTCCAGCCGCTGCTTCCACGGCAGCGGCGTCACCCCTTCGTTGCCGTAGATGTGGTCCCGGAACACGCCGTTGTGCATGTACTCGTACACCAGGATCATCTCCTGGTTCTCGTCGCAGTAGCCGATGAGGGACACCAGGTGGCGGTGCCGCAGCTTGGACAGCATCTGGATCTCCGTGTTGAACTCGTTGATGCCCTGCTCCGACTCGGCGCTCCCGCGCTTCACCGCCACCTTGGTGCCGTCGTCGATCTCGCCGACGTACACGTTGCCGAACCCGCCCACGCCGATGATGTTCTTCTCGTCCCAGTTCCCGGTGGCGGCCTGGATCTCGGCTAACGAGAAGAACCGCCCCAGGCCCATGGTGGAGGAGAAGGTGTTGCCGCTCTTGTGGGACCCGTACCCGCCCTTGCCGCTGGCGGTGAAGGACTGGCCCGTGTGGATGGGGAGCAGCCACGACGAGAAGCTCTCCCGCCGCTCCCAGTCCTGCGGCCGCTTGTACCACTTCACCACCATGGCGCCCAGCCCCGCGAACGCGCCGAACATCATGGCGAACCCGACGGCCGCCACCGCCTTGCGCCCGCCGCTCCCGTCGTCGGCCTTCCGCCCGTCCACGCCGAACTCGCCGTCCAGGCTGCCCACGGAGTTGCTCATCTTGAGCACCTCCATGCCGTTGAGCAGCGCGTCGATCCGCCCCGTGTCCTGCCCCATGGGCCCGACCTGAACGCTCAGCTTCCCCTTGCCTTCCGCGCCCTCCAGCGACGACGAGTTCACCACGAAGTCCTTGTAGTAGGGCGCCGCCAGCTCGCCGCCGGTCACCGTGGACAGGTCCAGCCCGGACATGGCCTTGCGCCCGCTGATGTACACGTCGAAGTAGAGGTCGTTGGTGGCCTTGCTCACGATGTCGGCGAAGAAGAGGCGGACCAGGTAGCTGAAGGACGGGTCCACGTCCACCTTCCACGTCAGGTTGAAGTTGGGGCTCCCCACGTCGGCGTCCGCCATCTTGGCAGCGCTCGCGTACACCAGCGTCGGCGCCACCAGCCGGGACGTCCCGTCGGGGAACTTGATGGTGCTGGTGGGCACCGACACGTCCTTCACCGCCTCCCTGATCTGCACGTACGCCGCGTCGGTCTCCCACCGCCGGCCCAGCGTGTCGTTGGCGGGGCCGATGGCGGGGCCGCCGACGTTGATCCGGTACAGGACCTGGTACGCGTCGTGCACGAGGCCGGTGATCTCGCCCAGCGGCGCGACGGCCAGCGCCGAGTCAGTGATGAGCTCGTCGGGCGCGTTCACCACTTCGATGGCGTTCACGAAGGCAGCGGAGCCCTTGAGCGGCTGGAACTTGAGCGCGAGGTGGTTCTCGGTGGCGTTGATCATGTACTCCTTCATCACCGGCTTGTTCTCCGGGGTGAAGCTGTGCAGCAGGACGTTGTCGTCGGTGACGACGCTGAAGGTGGCCGACGCGAGGTCCACGTCGCCGCCCTTGATCGGGAAGAGGTAGATGCGGATGAAGTGCCACCCCGGCACGGTGAGCGGGAAGCTGTAGACGGCCTCCTCCTTGAAGACCCGCGCGGTAGCGTACAGCGGCGACGGCACGTCGGCCTTGTCGTCGGCGGCGACGCGGATGGCGTCGTTGGCGGAGAGCAGGTGGTTGGCCTGCGCGTCCGTCTTGTACGACTTGCCGTCAGCGGTCACGGGCGCCGTCCCGCCGCAGTCAATCAGGAAGCTGTCCTTGGGCGTGAAGCTGGACGGCGTGGGCGGCGTCTCCGCGCCGCTGTCGGTCACGGGCCGGCCTTGCCCGGACACAGTGGTTGTTGTCGCCACCAGCGCTGCGGCTAGCAGCAGCAGAAGCAGCGCCGGCGGGAGCGTCCCGCGGCGCGTCATGGCTGGTGTGCTACGTGCTCGACGACCACCACCACCAGCGCTTGCTAGCTAGCTAGTCCAGCGTGCGTGCACGTCACCACCAGCACCGGCACCGGAGGGCGGCAGAGCAGCACCGGACGCCGGCACACGCTGCAGGCTATGACTGGGTGGGGTTGGGTGGGTTATTGACGGTGGCGGGGCCCTCTCACCCTCTCTCTGGTTGGTGGGCCCAATCGGAGGAGAGGGAGGAGGGAGGGGGTGAAATGGCGGGTTATGTGGTGGCCACCGGCGCGCCAAGTTTAAGCAGCCCGCGCGGCCGCCCGCTATGTTTGGGGTGGTGGCCACTGGCCACAGGCCGGCGACCGGGTCACCGCCGAGACGTGCGCTCCACCGCATTCTCCGGCCCCCCGCTGCCGCTGCGTGCCAGCTCACCTGCACCTGTGCGCCAACCTGCCATGTGCATGCTGCCTATTCTTGAGTCGCTGGCGGAAGAGCACACGGCACGACGAGCACACGACGAGCAGCAGCACACGGCACGACGAGCAGCAACAAGGCGAGCAACGAAGAAGGAGCGGCGGGGCCGGGCTGGCGTCCGTGGACGCGGACGAGCAGCAGCACACGACACGGCGAGGAGCAGCAAGGCGAGCAACGGCGAAGGAGCAGCAGGGCCGGGCTGGCATCCATGGACGCGGATGAGCAGCAGCAAGGCGAGCAACGGAGAAGGAGCGGCAGGGCCCGGCTGGCGTCCATGGACGCGGACGAGCAGCAGCAAGGCGAGGAACGGAGAAGGAGCGGCGGGGCCGGGCTAGCGTCCATGGACGCGACTCTGCCGTTCTTGGGAGGCGCGGACGGAGGAGCAAAGTAGCCGCCGCGAGGAGGCCAACCACGGGCGCGGCGCCGCCAGCACGTCTGCCCGAGCTCCGGCGGGCGAGGATGGCGGTGAGGAGGGGGCTAGGGAGGGGGTCTGCCCGAGCTCCGGCAGCAGAGATGAGCTGTGAGGAGGGGCCAGGGCAGGGGTCTGCTCGCCCGAGCGCCAGCGGCCAGGCTCGTCGGGCGCGCGGGGAGCTCCATCGGCGGGAGGAGGGGCGGCGGCGCGCGAGAGGACGAGGAGCGCACGCACGGAAGGTGACGAGAAGGGAGCACCGGGCTGGCTCGGGCTGGCTCCAGTAGAACGGCCGATTTGGTCGTTCAATCCTTGCCAGACCACAGCGGTACAGATGGTTAGCCCTCGCCTGGCTCTAGCCCACTTTCAGGCGACTGAACATACCAAAATTGGCTCCATGGAGTCAGACTGGAGTTAGCCACCCAACCAAATACACCCATGCCTACTCCTAAGTCCTACCTGCCAGCATGCTACTGCTGTAGTAGTACTGCATATTCAGACAACTAGTCATTGCAGATCTCAGTCTCAAGCATTGTTTGTTGTGCAAGATTTTAATTGTTTTAATGTCCTCAGAGCATGCGGGCTTCTCTGGTGAAGTACCCGTCTTCCTCCATGGTACGACCTAGTTGGGGGATCTTTGCTCGGTCAGGCTCACCATAGAGCGGTTGGGTGAAGTGTCTCGGGTTTCGACTGCCTAGTGACGATTTGTCGGCCAGGCCTTCCGAGCAATGGGAGGTCGGTCAACCATCCCATTGCTCGGAGTATAGACAGAGGCCTAGAGGCTTCGATCAGTACTTAGCGAGGGCGTGAGAGCGCACCCGCTAGGTGTAGTCTCTGAGTCGCTGACCGATTTATAGAATTAGTCAAGGGATTAATTCTGTTGTAAGGGTATTTAGTATCGGGCTTATGTAACCTTGGTGTTTGGTATTTGTCCGTATCTAAATTGGAAATGTAGATACTCCCTGCATTTTGAAATGGTTATTGTATTTCATACAAGAAAAAGTCAGTTTTACAAACTTTGATCAACAATTATTCAAACTACATACAAGTTTAGGACAAAAAACTTACAACAGTAGATTTGTATTCAAGTACCTCTGGTATGATATTGTTTCTTTGGCAAATAATAACAATCTGTTAGAGAAATCGGTGGTCAAAATCTATTATGCATGACTTTTTGCTTATCGAAATACACTTGCATTTTTTGAAACGGGAGGAATAATATGGTTTAAAGATTGTTAATCACGAAATACATGCCATTATTATTTGGCGCCAAAACAAGGCCAATACATTTGGCGCCTAAGATCTAGCTAGCACAAGCAATGGACAATGGACCATAGGTGACTAGACAAACTTTTTTGGGGGGACAGAGGGAGTAGCTTCCACAAACCCTAGTCAATTTTTCAAGGAAGTCAATTTTCTTGACCTACTTCCTCTGTCTGAAAAAGAATGTAAATCTCGTTTTACAATGAGTCAAATGATCTTAAGTTTGACTAAGTTTATAGAACATATTATCTACATTTAGATTTTCAGTTAAATTTATTATGAAGATACATCATATGACTAATCTAATGACACTTAAACATCAATGGTTTTTTAAATAGATTTGATCAAAATTAAGAATCTTTTGTCTTCCCGGGATGCGAGATTTGCATTGTTTTTTGGAACGGAGGTAGTACTAAATAAAGCCACAAAACATACGTCGGCACAACTAAATTTTGACCAAACGCAACTTTATCTTGGCACATGCACCAACAAGGCAAAATAACTTTGGCAATTTGCTTTTTTTTAAGCAAAACTATGCACAAATTTTGGCAGGACTTCTGTGGGTCATAAAGCCCCTGCTACCGAGTTGGGCTTGTTGGCCCATTTGGCACCTAGGGTATATATATATATATATATATATATATATATATATATATATATATATATATATATATATATATGGAGAGTATATTCAGTAGTCAGCTACATAATAAGTTATTCTGTAGCCACCTCCATTTACGATAATTTTATATACTAATTTACGATAAAGTGAATATATATTTACGATAGTTGTGTTACTATAACACATGAGGATATTTATCGTAACGTTATAGTAAATCACATAGTAAGGAGTTACTATAATCTCGTGAATTATTATAGTAATTATCGTAACTCAAAGTGGCCACATAATAAGTTATTTTATAGCCAGCTACAGAACATAATATTTTGTTACTGTGACGATTCTCCATTTCTGTACAAGGTTCCTTTGACACAGTTTTATTGCAGTCATAAAGAAACATTTGTTCAACACAAATCCTTCTAACCATAAAAACATCTTAGGTTTTGCGATCATAGTATTCTAAAAAGTAAATACTAGCACCAATTGAGCTTAGCTAGCATATCTTGACTGCACAAATAAGCTCCTAATGTCCAGAATTTATTTTTTGGTTTAAAGAATTATGTATTTAAACTAAATATCTTCGTACAAAATCAGTAAGTGACAAATTATTATGATTTCCTCACATATATACTGACATGACTATGAAAGTGACCAAAAAATCGCTTGGAATCATAAAACATATGGACATGGTCACATATATTTGTAACTATATATATGTTTAGGCATGTGTCTCGCAACCACAATAGAATCGAGCATGTCATCCACCAAAGATACACTGTCCCCATGTCAGGGAATGAAACAATAGTGTATCTGAAAAAAATTCTGATCGGTCCCTCTGAATAAGTTGAGGGACTCCTCCTAAAACAAGATAATATCAATATACATGCTCTATTTACCATATTCGTATCTTGCATGGCAAAAGGAAAAATGGGGAGTGCAATTATGAAGAGGAAAAGAAGAAAATATAGGCAAGCAGAGAAAACTGAGACAGAATAGCATGGAGCCATGAATATGAGCACAAGCAAAAGATCCTGATCCAATCAGACATGATGGAGAAAACATGATAGAGGGAGCCCATGAATATACATTGGCATGGAGTGGACTAAGCCCAATTCAGTAAACAGGTGGCGGTAGAACTGTTCACATGAGTGCATGATTTTTAGAATTAACCGCAATGACCAATACTGGCATAAGGTCTAACTAGAAACAGAGTACACGAGGAATAGAACTTACCAAGGTGGCAAGATTGTGGCTTCTCTTGGCACTGCCCTATCGAGATCAGCCAAGGAAATCTATATCTAATAGATGGATTGATGGTCGAGATATTGCACCACAAGTGGGTGCGCTAGTGCCCAAGTGAGATCTACACAAAAAACTAAGAGAAAGAAAAGAGGATAAATAACAATGATGAAAATATTAGGTCTAACCAGAGAAACCATAATCAACAATATTGAGCAAGAAATGAACACAACATAGACAATTGGACAAACAAATCCTAAAGTGAATCCCAAGGGGAAATGTAAATCATATACAACTCAACCTCTAACTGTTTTCGGAAAATGTCACCGCATATGATGGTAATGTACCAACAACATGAAGAATCAAAAGAGAGTGGAGAGAGAACCTTATGTGCTGGAGGAGCTCAAAGAAGACTAGTATAAAGAAATCCTCGGACACACATAATTTTTGTCTAAAAAAATTCAGCTTCAGTTTAAGGATATTCTAAGACTAAAACTTCAATGAATGCATTCTATATTTTCTGTAGAGATGCTAAATCAAGTGAATTCTACTTCAACTATAAAGAGGCACAATGTCTAATCCAATGTTAATCACATTCATACAACTATTTCAATTGAACCAGAAAAATTTAGCTAGGGCAGAACGTGAACACATAACTAATATTAAAAAAAAATCAAATACGCACATCACATTCTCATTGATATCCCACACAAATGGATAATATATGACAAATTTAATTCTTAAAGAATGAAGATGGTACCTACTATTAAAAAGCGGTCGCCCATAGCAAGCTAGCAGCACCTTCATATAATTCATTAATTCAACATACACCAATTTGACTAAGATTCAACTACCCAAGAGCTAATAAACCTATAATTTTAATCAACAAATCAATTACTGTATGATATTATGTGATAATACATCGACAATGTTTCAACTAGCTATCATGAATCATATGAGCAGAAATACTTTTAGGGACTAATAGATAATTAATTATCTGCTAGTTTGAATTATCTA